TAACACAGCAGTCTGTGATGCCAAGATGGGAGTTTCAGATGAGACTTGATTGCAGTACTTGCAAGTTCCATTAGCTTTAGTTGATATTGGCAAGAAATATTTGATGACAGCCAAATACTCTTTGATTAAATGATCGTGTGAAATTAGAGCTTTTCTTTTGATTTACTGTGCAAGCTATGATGCTTTGGAAAGCACTGCTTGAAAGGATCGTGGAAGTAGACTCTAACAACTTTCAAAATAAAGTTGAATAAATAATTGAAGGAGAGAAATTTTACGAGTTTGAAAGTTTTGCTGAACAGAGATATTTGGATAGCTTTTTAAAAAAGCCAAAACACATGATATGCAGAAGTGCCTTCTGTGCTGTAACATGAAGTAAGTCCTACTTAATGCATCCCCATAAAGTGTAGAAGTCTTTATTGCTGATGCAAAAATCGCTTCCTGCTTATGTTTTATGTTAAGGCTCTTAAATACCTGGAAAGTAAGTATCTTTTTCCTTTATGAATTGCGGTTAATTTGGAAAGAAATTGTTCATATGAGACTTTCTCATTCTAATTGCAATTAGTTGGCAAGATCTGAACAAAGGTTGGTCATTGATAATATTGAGTTTTCTAGTGCATTTTGTTAGCTGCCATTTTAATCTCAATTCCCTGTCCTTTTCTGCTTGTTGCTTGACAAAGAAAAAAATGTCCCAAGGCATTACAGAAAATGTTGGAGATGACGACAAGGTTGGACAAAAAAAATGGGTTAATGAGTGTCTTGAAGGATGGTGAGGTAGCAAGGTTTAGAAAAGGAACTCCAGATTTTAGTGCTTAGACACGTTTGCCTGCATTTGGGCAATGAGATTAAGTTATGTGAGGATTTGGAGGACTGCGGGGTTCTGGGAAGGTTATGACTTGTGGAGTTGAGGAAGAATGCAAGTCATGAAGGCATTTCAACAGAAGGTTGAATTTTAAATTTGAAGCATTTGAGAGGAGGGACCAATTTAAGTCGGCATGCAAGAATGAGAGGAATGCTGGTCAAATGACACCTTATTTTCCTTTGTCACCTTATGGCTTTTAGGACTCAACATTGAGTTCAATCGTTGAACAGCATGAACACTATGTTCATTATCTATTAATACCCTTACAATCCCCGATGCTGTCACAAATTGGGTTGCTTTCAGTACAGTCTCCCCATTTTCAATTTCTCATAGTCTCCATTGCCACCTATCCAAGCTTCTTTTCTCCCCTGGCCTACTACTAACAATCCCTCTGTTTGCCTGCTATTTTTTCCTCACTCTGGGATCTCTCTCCACCTATCTGCTCACTTCTTTATCCCCCACTCTCTATCATCATCATAAATACCATCTTTTCCTAACCAGGTCTAGCTCTGAAGAAGGATCATGGGACTCGAAACATGAACTTTCTTTTCCCTCCAGAGATCTTGCCAAACCTGCTGAGCTTCTTCATCAAATTTCTGTGTTGGTTTCATTGAGACAATAGTCAGGGTAAGAATAGAATTAGTTGCATGGTTTTATGGCAAGTACTGAAGGCAATAACTTTGCTTATTGGAAATTGTGGCTGAGTCAAGACTGGATGTGTGACAGACAACCTGTCAACTTGAAAGAGATAATGGAGTTATTATTTGGTGTTGTTGATGTGCCTGTCAACTTTGATCTTTTGTGTTTAGATGATGCTAAGCGATAATGTAGACGAGGAAGGGAACAGATCTATGATAGGTCCTTTAGCAACATCCCAGGTCGTAATGTGAGTGAATCATAGATCGTAGATCATAGAATCCCTACAGTGTACCCAAACCCATCCCCCTATAACCCACCTAATCTACACACCCCTGAACACTGCAGGCAATTTAGCATGGCCAATCCACCTAGCCTGCACATCTTTCAAGATGGTACACATTAAGAAGGTAGTGCTAATGGTTGGGGGAACAGGGCGTGCTGATCAAGTGGAATGCTTTGTCCTGCATGGTGGCAAGCTCCTTCAGTTGTTAAGGAAGAGAAGACATTGCTGCAGATGCTTTAGATTGGATAGGACCAAGTGAAGGTAACCTCACTTAGCAGGATAAAGAAAACGTGATATGGTCAGCTGCGTTCAATCCTGCAGAAATATCAAAAGGAATGAGGAGGGGCCCTATTATGGCGCAGTGGTAGTGTCCCCATTCCTGAACTGCAAGACCTGGGTTCAAGTCCAACCTGCTGCAGAGGTGTGTAATAATGTCTCTGAGCAGATTGATTAGGAAAATAGGTAAAAACAAAATAAGAACAGGAAGGTTGAGGCCCTCTCATGGCACTGTGGCACAGTGGTATTATCCCTACCCCGGACGGGGTGGCCAAGGTTCAAGTCAGCAACAAAGTCCCACCTGTTCCACAGGTTTGTCATCATATCCCTGAATAGGTTGATTAGAAAAGTAGGTTCAATTTGAAAAAAAAACAGAGGAACCCTCTTGTGGTGCAGTGGTCATGAAAAATAGGATAAATAAAAAAAGGATGAGGAGGATACTGTGATGACAGTTGTGACTAATCAATATTAATTCAGTGTTGGGGATATCTCCTTTAAATAGTGTGGTAAGAATTGTGCGAGAGATTGTGTTGTACAGTGGTAGTGCTCCTACCTCCAGGTCAGGCATTCAGCATTCAAGCCCCACATGTCCTGGAGGTGTCTCAACATACCTGAGCAGGTTCATTTTTTAAAAAAAGAGAGGTGTGGTCTCTGGCACTGAGAGCTAATTTTAAAAAGCATGGAATCTCATTCTTGCAGATTTCAGTTATTGATGTAGGTGTAACATTTTAATTTTTTTAAACATTTCCTTTTTTTTGTCCTTAATTGCTCTTAATCCTGTTGTTCCCTCGCTAATTTAATTAGTGTGCTTGATTTGAGATCGGATCAATGTTATTACTTATAGCTATTTTCTAATCAGCCTGTTCAGAAATGTTATTACATACTTCTGGAGACTTGAACCTTGATCCCCTAGCTCAGGGGTGGGGACACTACTGTGTCTGTCACTGTTTACAGGTTAAGTGAGAAATATGACTGTGCACGAGATGTGGCGGAGAAAAGGTATCCAAGATGACGTTGGAGTTGAAGGATACTTGACTCATTCCATGGAGCCACTTTGTGGCTGGAGATTGCAACTACAGTTTGGTGGCTCCTGTAGTAGTTAGCCCCTAGCTGTCTTTGATTAATCACATGTAAAAGTTACAGTGCGGACCCAGATTTAGAGTCATCAGTTGCAAAATATTGTTTTTTTTTGTTCCTAAAAGGGAGGAGTAAGTTGGCGGTGGAAATCTTGGAGGAATGAAAATGGGCTGCATAGTTCTCACTTTATTGGTTTATTTTGTTTTAATGAAAGTGTAAGCTGCTGCTGATGTGATCTGATCTGGTTTCTGAGAGTTGCTGCTTTATAAGTAGCAACTGTTGTTAATCCAGATATGTTCTGCTTTCATAATCACCTGTAGATGCAGAGATGACCTTCTACCTTTAGCATGACATGTGAACTTGATCAGGTGACACTTGCATTATTTCCTCTATCATAGGAATGAAGCATAGATAACCTGGTACTGGAGAATTTAATAGATTTTTCTTACAGTTCCTTGTATCTACCTATACTACAGTTACAGTCACAGGCACTTGCATGTCTGGGCTATAGCCAAGCAATTTGATGTCAACTGTGGCACATTTCACTCTGTGTCATGCTGCAAGAGGAGTCAACAAGATTGGACTTGAGAACTTTACACTATCAGATTAAATGCAGTGATTTCGTGATTACGTCATGAGCATGTTCCTGAAAGGTATATTTGAATATTCGGTCTCAGGCATAGCAAAACAACTTTGGATCTTAGTGCTGCTTCTTTGTAATTTTTAATAAGTTTCTCTAAACTGCTTGTGCTTGTTATTCCCCTAAGTAAAATCTGGAGCTCACAGAACTTTGTTGTCCAGTAAGCATAATACAATAATGGTTCAATTTGAGCCTTGAATGATGGTACTGTACCGAAGGTGTGTGCGCAATGGTTTTCATTCATAGAGAAGTGAGAATTCACCTACATGAGTTTCCCTTGACACTGATCATGAGTCAAGTGCCAGAGTGAAATCTGCAAATGCACACTAATATCCTACTGCTTAATGTGGTTTGGAAATGTAGTGCTTGCTGCTCTTGAAGCTTAGATTTCAGTAAGAGTGCTATTGAAGGCTTTCTGTTGCTTATTGGAAAGAATGTCACACAATTCTACAGAGATTTTCCCATTAAGATCATAAGGATTGCTTTGAGGATCAAACACCTGTCATTTCTTTCAGAACATTAGTGAACCTGTCCTTTTTTTTGTAATGGGCTAATTCTGAATAGGATTTATAAATTTATTGTATTAAACATTCTCCAAATTCTACTAAAATTGATGTTAACAAAAGGAGCACCACAAGAACTTTGCTGTTCTTTGCAAATTTGTTCAGAATATGGATTTGTTTTGCTTCCTGGAAATCAGATATGAAACAATTTGTTGAAACATTGCTACTATTTTTTCCATGTCTGCTATACCCTTTCCAAAAGCGACTTCTGCATTGTAACAATTCAACCAGTTTTCAGGGGCCAGTTTCAGGATTTTCCTTTTTTTTTCTCAGCATAACATTTGTTTAAAGCATAATATGAAAAAATATGTTAAATATCAGACCTCATATGAACATGGTCTAAAATAAAATCCATTGGTGTCTTGTTCTTCAGCCTGTGTTCCAGTCTTGTGTTTTGGCTACACTCAATCTGTCCATTCCCCATATATGAAAATCAAATGGCAGTTTGCCCTTAATGTTGGAGCTGTTACTACAATAATTAAAATATATTGTGTACATGTGCCAAAAAAACTGACAGTGTAATTAATGTTTCAGGAGTCATTGTGCAATATTTTAATGAAAATGGATTTTTTTTTGATTTTGAATGTTTTTCATGTGAAGTAAGCAGTCCAATTTTCACAGTTGTTTAGTAGTAATTAGTGAATTTTTAACTCTTATTTGTAGCCAGAGAATACAGGATCACTTTCAAACCTTAAGGATTTGTGGCTGGATGGGAACCAACTCATGGAATTGCCTGTGGTAAGCTTGATTTGCAACTACTGTCTTTCTTTCAATGCCTTAGTAATACTTATCAATTGGAATTCCCCTGTTTCCTGATCTTTTGACTTTTGTTTCAGGTGTTGTTTATTTGCTGCTGTTTAGTTAATTATAATTTCAATCCTGATGCATTTCCATATGCAGCAATCCAAGTATTTGATGTATTATCCATCTGTACTTGCAACTGAAGAAAGCTTAGACTGAAAAGCTGACACATTCCTAACGTTTACCCATGAAAACTTAGTGTTGATTTTCCTATTCTGAGCATTCATTGATGTTGAATAATTGATAGTTGTCTGATTCATAATTCATATAGTTGTCATCTTTGTCAATAATTATTACTTCCTCACTTTTACAGTGTCAATTCTGTGCGTTCCTTTTAGACAGGAAGATATGCAAACACAACTGTAAGCATCTCATTGCTTGTATGAGCCACATGCTTTTCAAGCATGAAGTGTTTTGCTTGAATGGGATTTGCAAACAAACCCCTGTAGTTTCCTATCCCAAAGCATAATCCTTGATAAACATTAAGTATTCTGTTCATTTAATTCACAAAAATCACTTGATTTGAATATATTTATAATAACCAATTAAACTTTTCTCTCTGGGTAATGCCATAAAACCGTCCATCCATCCACCTGCCCCAAACCTACCAATCTGAAACGCTGAGACCACAGGAAATAGGAACAAGATTAGACCAGTGCGTCCCCTCAAGACTGCTCAGCCATTCAGTGGGATCATGACTGATCCAAAAGTCTTTTGTCCACTTTCCTGCCCTTCCCTGTAACCCTTGATACCCTAATGGATCAAGAATCTATCTACCTCAGCCTTAACTATAGTCAAGAACTCTGCCCCTACAACTTTCTGTGGCAAGGAGTTCCAAAGACACTCAAACTTATGACAGACAAAATTTCTCCTCATCGCAGTCTTAAGTTGGCGCCTCATTATTCTGAGACTATGCTGTCTGGTCTTAGACTCTCTCATGAGGGGAAATATCCTTCACACATTCCCAAGGTGGGAAGATTGTTGTGGAGAGACAAACCATTAAGGTGATGGTGTTCTGTGGAAGATGGGGCCAAATATGCAAATGTTTATTCTGTGGAAGGGAAGAAATGTTGGCAGTGGAAATGAGCAGACCTTGGGAAGGCTGCGAGCAGAGGCTTGGAATGGGATTTGCAAACAAACCCCTGTGGTACGCAAGAGGAAAAAAGGCATTTTGGCTTCCAAAGTGAAGAGGCGATGATTCAACAAGTTTTATTCTTTTATTGTTGTGAAGGGGAAGAAGTGCAGAATCTTCTAAGAAGTAAGGGCAAATATTCAACTAAAACTTGTTGCTCATTTTGCTGTATCTTGAGTGAACATTATAATGTAATGTATGCCTAGATGACACGAGGATTATTGCAGGGTGAAAAGTGGGATGATCAGAAGTACCTGTTTCTTTTTAAGTCATTGGGAGGCATTCAGCTAATTGTTGAGATACAAGGGAGTGATCGGAGTTTAGACTATTCCAGGCATTAAATGGAAAGCGCTGGATTTCATGGTACCTTCTCTAACGAAGGTGAAAGACGATGTAAATGCTGGGAGGTATCGCTGTATCCAAGGGAGGTAAGTGAGGTGAGGTCTCAAATTTCAGAAGTGTTGAAATATTTTGTTTTCAGAAGCTAGATATTTGGGTGTTGTGTGGAATAAGAAAAGATGAAAACAACCAATTGTCTGAGAAGAGACCGCCAACAGTTGGAATCCAAATGATGGTGCAGTGAAGCCATTTTAAAATGAAGCTGGAATTAGAATGCTTTGAATAATGCTATAAATTTTTAAGATGTATAAAATAAAAATACTTAATGTACTTCCTATGTATATATTAAGCTGATCAGTCAAACTGGTGTAGAGTATTTAGGGAGCTGCTTATACAATCACCTGCTATTGCACGGGAGGAGATGGAGTTATAGTGGAAATGTCACTGAACTAGAAATATGAAGGACTAGTTAATTCTCCAGGGATCCAGGTTAAAATTCCACCATGACAGCAAGCATTCAAGTCAGGAATTGAAAGCTAGCCTCGTTGATGGTGACCATCAGATTATCATTGATGTAAAAAGATCCATCTGGTTCACTAATGCGCTATAGGGAAGGAAATCGTCTGGCATAAATATGACTCCAAATCCATGGTCCTCTGATCCAGGGAAATTAAGAGATGGTGAACAATTCTGGCCTTTCCAGGAATTCCACATTGTATGAAAGTAAAATATAAGTCTGTATGCCAGGTTATCTAAGATTACAAGGAGATCTTGATTAGTTGGGTCAATGGGCTGAAGAGTGGCAGATAGATAATTTGGATAGATGTGAGATATTGCATTTTTTGTAAAACAAACAAGGGCAGGACTTACACAAGTAAAAGTAGGGCCTTGGGTAGTGTAGGAGAACAGAGAAACATTCAGGTACATAATTCTTTGAAGTTTGCGTCACAGGTAGACAGGATGGTTAAGAAGGCATTTAGCCTGCTTTCCTTCATTGCTCAGACCTTTGAGTTTGGATATGGGATATCATGTTGAGGTTGTACAGGATGTTGGTGAGGCCTCTTCTGGAGTACTGTGTCCAGTTCTGGTCGCCTTGTTATAGGAAGGATATTATTAAGCTGGAGATGGTTCAGAAGAGATTTACCGGGCTGTTGCCAGGAATGGAAGGTTTGAGTTATGGAGAGAGGCTGGATAGGCTGGGACTTTTTTCACTGGAGCATAGGAGGTTGAGAGGTGACCTTTGTAGATGTTTATGGCATGTATCTTTTCCCTAGAGTGGGGGATTTCAAGACTAGGGGACATATTTTTAGATGAAAGAAGCAAGATTTAAAAAAGACATGAGGGGCAGTTTTTTTACACAGAGTAGTTTGTGTGGAATGAACTTCCAGAGGAAGTGGTGGATGTGGGTACAGTTGTAACATTCACAAGTCATTTACTTAAGTACATGAATAAGAAATGTTTGGAGGGATATGGGCCAAGTGCAGGTGGGTAGGACTAGTTTAGTTTGGGATTATGGTTTACATGGATTGGTTAGAACGAAGGGTCAGATTCCGTGTTGTACAGCTTAGTCTGTCTCTAAGTTCTGTGGGCAGGTCCCATATTATCAATAGATGGAGAAAAATCTTAAGCTTTTTAAGAGAATTGTGTAAACCTGATTACTGTATAGTTCGATAAGAGTGCTGACTTTAGGTAAACGTTTTCCATTTACATGTGACTGGGATTTGTCACTTTAAAAAATGTTAACAAAATGAGTAACAGAAATAATAACTGGTCAAGTGGTACAGGTGAGAAGCGCATGCAAAACAATATTTGTAATGTATGTCTTTCTCTTAGATTTAGCTGTCGTTGGATAAACATGGGATCATTTCCAGTATAGCACTAAAAATACCTTGAAATAAATTTTCACAAAGTATGCAGGCATTTGATATACAAACATTAAATTTGTGCTTTCAAATGAAGCTGGGAGATGTTAATTTTTAAATATTTGCTTAGAATTTGTTTCATTTCTTATTAGTTTAGTCCCATGGATGCTAAGTTAACAAAAACCTTGATTAAGGACTTGATTTCCACTTTGGATATAGCTGAGTATATGCACAGAAACTTTGTATATAAAAAAAGTGTTTGAAATCAGTGGGAGATAGATTGCCCTTTTCAGTGTATGCTGTCTCACTAGTCTTTCATGTAAGGACTCCAGTTCCTTTATTTTTGTTAAAACAGGAAATTGGAAACCTGAAGAACTTGCTGTGTTTAGACGTGTCAGAAAATAAACTGGAGAAACTCCCGGAAGAAATCAGTGGACTTGGTTTGCTCACTGATCTTCTGGTGTCTCAGAACCAATTGGAGGTTTTGCCAAATGGAATTGGTATGTCACTTTTGTGAAAATGGTTTGTTTGCTTTGGCTTTAATTTTTTCGTTTCCTTGATTGTGTCTTTTTTTGTTCTGCTGTAATACATGGAATGTGGCTTCATACTGTGGTGGCTGTTTAGAACTGGCCTGAGAGTAGTTCATTTGTCTCAATAAGAATGATTAACAAAGAAAATATCACAGTAAATGTTTTTCTCATAAAGGAAGAAAACCTGGATTGTCTTTCTCTCTACTTCTATACATTCTGTGAAGGAATTGCTCTTGAAATTTCCTTTCAAATTAAGCTACCACCGAGATGCCTGATTTAGACATTAATTGTGATTAAAAATCTCTCACGAATAGGTGTAAACCCAAGGCAAACTGCATTCTTTAACGAATGAAGATCGTACCATTATTTGCATAATGGATATTAGAACCAAATTGATGTTTCTATTGACCTGCGTCCATAGAATTTCAGCTTAATGCTTTGGCATGCTTTGTCCTTGTCATGCTGTTTGAGTGTATCTTTTGGGATTGCCATGGTTGATCCTGACACATTTAAACATAAATCCCTCTTGGAATTTTTCATGAGAAATGAGATTTCAAAACATGTTCAAATGCATAAATTACAACTGAATGAACTAATGTGCGGGATTTCCTTTTCTAATATGTTCCCTCTCACCTTCCTGTAGGAAAACTAAAGCACCTTTCCATTCTGAAGCTTGATCAAAATCGTTTGGTTCAGTTAACAGAAGCTATTGGTGAATGCGGAAATCTTACAGAGCTTGTACTCACAGAAAATCAGCTAACGGTCAGTATTTCTAATTAATAATTCTTGCACCTGCATCAGTAACTTCGGGTCTGTCGGTCATGTAGAAACCCTTTCCTCTCATTGCCAGTCTGTGAAGCTTCACTTAACTTGCAATTTTTTTCTGTTGTACAGCCATTTTTCCATCCATTTGCTACAGTTTCCCTTGGTCATGAGTGAACCTTATAAAACACTTCTGATAAATATGCATTAGCTTTGTCAGCTCTTTGTGTTCCTAAAGGAACCCAATAGAATGTAACCTTTCCTTTTGAAATCCTTTCTGCCAGCTCTTTTTATATTTACAATTTTTAGTTTTTCTATTTTAGTTTTGAGTAAATATTCTATTATCTTTTCAACATTTGACGTTAAGCTAACTGGTCTCTAGTTTCCTGGACTTTACAGTCTTGGTTTCTCCGTACAAGAGTATGTTGTTGGTTTATTTTCAAATCTCATTGTACTGCTCTGTATCGTTAAATACTTTCTGTTTCGTACATTACAAATCCTCTATCTTCCTCCTCTTTGTGTATTTTCAATGATCTATCCTCCATATGTGAAAAGACTTTTAACCTAGATTGATAGATTCAGTAAAAAGCATGCTGAGGACACGTATGATTGTGCATCATAACATTATAAATGTTGCACAGACTTTCTGTTTCTAACTTTTAGGGCTTGTATAAAGTCCTCGCACTATTGCTTCTCTTGATATATCCCCACATGAGGTTCTTGGCTCTTTATGTTGGATCTCTTTTTGCTAAAAGTTCCCAGCTCTTTCTGGCCAGATTAGACAGACCGTCAAATGTTAAGTTAATTAATTGGGCTAGAGATTTCTGCTTACTTTTTAAGATGTCCCTTAAATCTAAGGTACCAACCCACATTAACACTTGAGAGTGTGTTATAAGACAGTGTGCTTTAAAATAAGAAGATTTAAGAGGAAACTATGCTCTTTACCTAGCAGTTTAACCAACCAAAGGGATCTGGGAATGTCTGAGATCAGAGTTTTCAGCCAAAAAACATGAACTTGAGGCACAAATTGGAATTTTACCCTTCCAATCAGTTTTGCAAATGTAATCAGTTTATAAAGCCAAAGGCTTTAGATAATGTGCAAAATGATGTTATCCATTCACAATCGATAATCTTTGTGTGATTTTTGCATATCCGTCATGAAATGTGATGCATGCTCTGCCAAAGTTGCTTCACATCCATGAAACTCTCATGTAGAGGGCCATCACTCTACACATCCAACATTATTCAGTGTGAGTCATAGACAAGCATACTACACTGAAGAAATCTGGTCACGTCCAATTTCATTGATACTGAGGAAATTCTAACTCATCAGTTTTCTGAGTATTTTATGAATAATGCTGAGATAGCAGCAGTGATTTTGTATTTAGAATTTGACAAGAAAATTCCAGCCTCCAATCTTCAGCAACAAATTCAATGCAAGTGGAGAAGAATTAATTCCCGGTTAAAGTTCCCAACTCTGGTATCCCTGAAGGTTTGATCATATGAAGTTCTGACCCTGTGTTGTTTGACCATGTGATATTTGATTGATGTCTGATCACATGCTTACATAAATGTTACTGCATTTGCTGCATAAAAGTGAAGTCCTGTGTATTTGTTTCTTTGCATGTGATTTTGCACTAGCAATTGTTAAGGGAGGTTTGAAGAATCAGGAGTCCACCTGGTTTTCAACTCTCATCTCTCATACTTTCTCCTTAGAGCCAGATTTTGGATCCAATTTCAGATAAATGTACAAACACTGAATTGAGGCCTTCAGTCAGAAGTGCTGCAACTCTAAAAGGAGGAGTGCTGTTAATCAAGCTGCCTTACTCTGAGTCATATCATTAGTATGAATGTTTAAATTTAATTACTAAATTGGCCAGTTGCTTCATTGTTATCCAGACCAAAAGTCTTTTACCAGGTTTATTTAACAAACTTGCACCACACATATCGAAACCAATCAGTACTTACTAACCTGAACCAAATCACCAAGATTGTACGTAGAACATTGGATTATATTTGAAACTGATCCCTTAGCACCTGTTACCTTAAACTCAGCTCTGAGCTAATTTTTCTAAATGATTTCTGAGCTTGGACACAATGAAGATGGATTTTCTTAGAATTATAAAAATTACAACACAGAAGGAGGTCGTTTAGACCCGATCTGAATGTCCTCTCTTCTAAACCCATTCCCAACAAATCCTTTTAATTTCTCCTTTTCAAATATTTGATCCCTTCCTTTTTAATTTAGTTTTCAGTATCTATCTGAACAGTCAAGTGTGTTGAGGTATCCCACAGTTTATTCACCTCTGTCCAAGAACTGCCCTTGTCTAATGTCCTTACCACCTTGTTTTTGCTGTTCTTGTTATAAAGAAAATACTAGCCCCCAAAACCCATGACAACCCACCTAATCACTAGCTCTCTTTCCTGACTTTTCCACAAATTCCAATTCTTATATCTCCAAGGCTTCCCCAGAACCCACAATTCATAGTTTTCCTCTTATTGATCCACCCCCACCATAGATACACATGCCCCCCCCCGTCCCAACACCAAGACCTGAGGCTCCATTCCCCCGTCTGCCTGTTGACTGTCATGTCACCTTGGTAGTCTCATTCCTCAGTCTCTATCTCATCCCACTCTACTGCTGCTGTTCCTTCCAAATCTGAGTATTCATTCCTCAGATTTGGAAGAACATTTAAAGGTTTCCTTAGCCATAACCTGTCAAAGTGTCTCCAAATGAAGCAGATTTTACAATGACGTGAGAAGTAATGGTCCATCCCAGATAACTTTTAAAGATTTCTGGCACACTTTTAATACCAAATGTGGCTTGCAGACTCAGATTGCATACATCATTATGTCCTTTAGCATTTGGATGTTCCAACTCTGAAATGAGGAATGTGCTGTTAATCAAGCTGCACTACTGAGTTGTACAATTAGTATGAATGTTTAAATTCGGTTACTAAATTGGCCAGTTGCTTCATTGTTATCCACATCAAAAATCTTACCAGGTTTATTTAACAAACTCAAAAATGACTTATTATTGACTAGATTTATTCTTTAAACAAGTGGAAAAGCTGCTATGTAGCAGAATTAAACTACATTTCTTTAATCACAAACAAACACATTCACAGGGCAAGCAAGACAATACAGTTCTGCAGAGGTGATACAGTTTTGAAAGAAAAGAGAAACACTGCTGTGGGCCATGGATCTGAACTCAAAATTATAAAATTGGATGACTTCTCATGGTTCTCCAAGATTCCTCTGATGATATTGAAATGCTAACAACTATAGAGTGATGGAAGAAATTCAGTTCAGAAGGAAAGCCAGGTAGAATTAAGTCTTTGAATAGAAGTAACAGTTGAGCTTTCAGGGTTTATGAGATAGTTAGTTAGAAATACTAATATTTGGAAATATACTCAGGTTACCAAAACTACTTAACTGGGAGGGATATCTTTTCAGCTTGGATTAAGGTCACTTGTTCTTTCAGAAAGGAGAAAGAGTCTTCCTTAGTGCAAGTTTGAAGTCTTTTCTACTTATGCATCCAAGTTTCCTGGAAAACAGAAAGCAACTCCTGAAGGGTGTTGCTAGGCAACCTTTAGTTTTCAGACCCCATCTCTTCCAAATCAAGTTTGTTCAGCAATTAAAGCCATAAACCAAATCTCTTCTCTTCTTTCAGAAGCTTTGCTTGTCTACTTTTAAAAGTTAATCGAGTTTTCAGTAATTAGTAGGTGAGTCACAGCTGACATGACACTTCCACCCCTCACCACCCCCCCCACCCCCCACCCCGGAGCCTAGGAAGCTGAGAGATAACCTTAAAGGTTTATAAAAGGAGGAGCATAGGTAAGGTGAATAACCAAGGTCTTTTCCTTAGGGTAGGGGAGTCCAAAACCAGAGGGCATAGGTTTAAGATGAGAGGGGAAAGATTTAAAAGGAACCTGAGGGGCATTTGTTTTGCACAGAGGGTGTTGCGTATATGGAATGAGCTGCCAGAGGAAGGGGTAGAGGCAGAGACAATTCCAACATTTAAATGACATTTGGGCAGGTGTCTCGATACCACAGGTTTAGAGGGACATGCGCAAAAGCAGGCAAATGGAACTAATTCAGTTTAGGAAACCTGCTTAGCATGGACAAGTTGGGCTGAAGAGCCTGTTTCTGTGCTGTATGAATCTATTTCCAAAAAAATCCCTTCTAATCCAAAATGTCCATACAGTTCCATATTCCAGTTCTTCAAGGTTGTTAAATATAAATACATATTCCCAGCAAGGGTTAAAATTGTATCAGAGATAGTAGGAACTGCAGATGCTAGAGAATCTGAGATAACAAGGTGTAGAGCTGGATGAACACAGCAGGCCAAGCAGCATCAGAGGAGCAGGAAGGCTGATGTTTCGGGCCTAGACCCTTCATCAGAAATGGGGGAGGGGAAGGGGGTTCTGAAATAAATAGGGAGAGAGGGGGAGGCAGATAGAAGATGGATAGAGGAGAAGATAGGTGGGGAGGAAACAGACAGGTCAAAGAGGCAGGGATGGAGCCAGGAAAGGTGAGTGTAGGTGGGGAGGTAGGGAGGAGATAGGTCAGTCCAAGGAGGACGGACAGGTCAAGGGGGCGGGATGAAGTTAGTAGGTAGGAGATGGGGGTGCGGCTTGAGGTGGGAGGAAGAACAGGTTTGGGAGGTGGGGACGAGCTGGGCTGGTTTTGGGATGGGGGGATGGGAGATTTTGAAGCTTGTGAAATCCACATTGATACCATTGGGCTGCCCAAGCTATGCCTGCCTCTTTGTAGGTTACGTGGAACAATCCCTCTTCCATACCTACACTGGCCCTAACCCCACCTCTTCCTCCGTTACATTGATGACTGTATCGGCGCCACCTCGTGCTCCCACGAGGAGCTCGAACAGTTCATCCACTTCACCAACACCTTCCACCCCAACCTTAAGTTCACCTGGACCATCTCTAACACCTCTCTCACCTTCCTGGACCTCTCTGTCTCCATCTCGGGCAACCACC